CAAAAATAAATATGTCACCGCTCACCAGTGGCGTGAAATATGCTGATTTCTAACGGGACCCTCTTGCATACTTGCTCAGATTTTTTTACTGACCAAATTCAGAGTTCACAAATGTATCCTATCATGCTAGTGTATTGTACAGAGGCCAGGACGAGTCTTCTATAATTTATAACCAAACAATGGTAAAACATGGTACTTTTTGTTACCCTGCCTGGCATTCAGCATTAAGACACTTATCATCTCGGAGTCATACTCTATCGGAGTACGGTATCCATGTTTAACTACAATATGCAAGAACAGATTCAAGCACGTACACACACACACATTTCATTTTTAAGTGCAATAATCTTGAACATGACTTTAAGCCCCATATTACCTCCTACAGTTTTTGAAACTTGTTCCTTTGCAGACTCAAGCATTGTACCATTGCTAAGCTAGGGTGCATTTGTGTGTTAAGCTCTGGTTGGGGTGCATTTCAATTAACATTTTTATGATCATGATGATCTAAGTTGATTTCACTATCAACAATAAGTTGTTTACCTGGCGCAAAACTATTTTTTTACAGACCACAGTGATGTAGTGGGGATATTGCTGACTGGTGCATTTAACAACAACCAAAATAATGTCTGGAAATCTGACAGAAGTTCTCGTCAAACAATGAGAGAAATCACTCCTGTTCCTGCTCCTTCTGTTTCTATCTATTCTCCTTTATTCTTCTGAAGTTACATATCAATAACACCATTATTCATGCCTAATTATTTGGTGAAGTACCTTTAAGCATATTACTTGAAGGTCAATGTTGAAAGCACCTAACAGGTAAATCCCTTTGATGTTTTATCTGTGGTTATTTGATCATGATTGCTTGCTCGCCTGTAAAATTTGGATCATTTGACATGAATACATGTATAGAATAGTCAAGTGTCTTGAGGGATAGGACTAAAAGGCTCAACAAGCACACTGGCTTTACTCATTGTAAGGTCTTGGTTGTCTGGTGACAGCATAGGTACTCATATGATTAGTCCCTTGATCACAGTAATAGGGCTTACAATCACTGTGTTCTGCTACTTACAGGCCTAGCATGTGAGAAAGTTATGATTGGTGTGAATAAGATTTATTTGGTTGTTTAGGCTTTGAACATAAGGCAGTTTGTATCATGTTGTATCTAAGTCAAATTTGACGTGTTTGCCATGTCAGGAGTTCCGGGTTTCATTTTACAGCCTGATCCTGCTTGTGCACTTCATGTCATGTTAAGGTGGTCGTGACATGATAACAATAAAATGATTCATGCTTAGAATAAATCTTTGGCAGCTTTTCAAGATTCTGAGAAGAAAGATTTTGAAACGTTGGAAACATTGCTGAGCCAATGCATATCCTGTTCACGGTTTTACTAAGGCTCCGCTTCGACACCAAAATAGAGTGAATGATTGACTTTTTAAAGCTGAATCAACAATTTGTAAACTCTTGCTGTTAGACTTGTCATAACTGAAACTATAAAATACAATGGAATTATTTTATCTTCTATGGTGTAGTTTAATTTGTATTTTTATTCACTTGGACAAAACTTGCTCCATTGCAAACAAAGGATTCAGTCAATAAACCGTTTGCCTTCAGTCTGAGCAGTAATTTATGTTTGACACATTCTCAAACAAACATGGAAAATCAAACATTGTCAAACATTTGCCTGCCTCTCCTCTTATGACAGTTTCATGATAAATTTAAAATAAGAACCCTTTGTCAAACAAAAATCTGGACATTTGTCATGGCTGAACATGAGGCTGTGCCAAGGGCATCACATTTTCAAGGTCATGACAAACATGCACTTCACAAATCACAATCTCCAATAAAGATGGCAACTAAAATCTCTAAGCCGTGATGATTAAACTTCAATGCAGCCCATAGTATTCATGCTGAGCTACAGACATAGCTCATCAAAGTATTGATGTCCCATCAGTTTATATTCCAAATTGTGGAAGTGAATTAACTGGTGTTGCAGAGGGGGGGGGGGGGGGGGGGGGGGGGCAATATTCAGTATAGCTAGACTACATGAGTCAGCATAATCAGGATAATTCCACAGATAGCTGTGAGATAACCAGTGATAATTGCTGACAGATGAGGAGGTGTTGGGGTCAATTCGTTGTGCTTCTTGGCATCTTCATGAGGGTTGTGAGGTGGAATCCCCAGCCTGGAAGTGTGTAAGGTTGTTGAAGGCTCTGACTGTGTTGCATGTGGAAGAATGTCATCCCTAAGAATACTGTTCCTTTTAATCTTGATGCATGATTAAAATAGCTGACAGATATCAGTTACTGTTGTCTCGGAGAGCCTGATCTGCTCTGTCCTCTGGAGAAGCCTTGGCATCATTACAGATGCCTGGAACCAATCACCTGAAGGGAGAATTGTAGAGCTTTACCCCAATGTCTTAGGCTCAGTGTAGGCATTCAAAACATCAACCAGAAACTCTTTTGTGAAGAGCTTAAATTCTGTGCTATTTCTTTTACAATTTTGACAAATGTTTGAGACAGGTAACACAAAGAATTTAACCGTAAATTCAGTAAGTTTAAGGTATCAGATCATGCTGATCACAGTTACCATAGTAACTGTCTGCAAATGAAGGAGATAGGTTAACAATTACAAGGCTCTGTTGTATTTATAGGAAGTATAAATAGCAACAGATTGAGGATTTGCTTAGAAACAAGACAGGAATGAGAAATAAGGTTCCTAATCATTTTAGTTCAACTACAGAATTCATTGTACAAGGTGTCCTGTGTTAAATTAGTTCATGTTTGCCTCATCCCAGAGGTAATTAGTGAACACATGGTATTGAACAATCAGTTATCTTCAGTTGTTTCACAGCATCGTGGGCAACCAGGGCTATGATGATCTCGCTGCTCCGTGCGGCTGCAAGACTACAAGACTGATGACTTTGTAGCTGGGTGTATGGTCGGTGCTTGCAGCAGCGTTGTCAATCACAGCTGTCTATCGCTTGTCACTCTCCTGGGCGGAATTGATCCCTACAATTAGCGATCTGTGTCTTCACATCCGTTATCTTGTTGATAGAAGAGGGCTAAACCTGGTGCTAGGCTGGCGAACAGCACAGTAACAAGTGGCACAGAGGACCAGCATGTTGTACACTGGCTTGGAAAGGAGCTATTGTTGTAGTTGTCTTGTTGAGTAGAACAGGATCCAGAGCTGTACAACTGCTGCTGTTGTGACCAGCAGAGTCCTCTGTTGATGGGGGTTCCGTCATTAGAAGTCGTGATGAAGCATAAGGAGAGCAACAGCAGCTGTCCAGTGGGTGACTTGAGCCACTATCTAGTCCAGGGCCCGCCTGCACAAAGCCATCTTAGTGTTAGAACTGTTGGAAATCTGTGTATAAGTACAGGAGTTACAACTGTCATAGTGCTAAGATCACTTTGTGCAGGTGGACCCAGTGCCTTAGAAGCTTTCAGACACTAACATTTTATCTTCTTCTGAAATGAAACATGTTAAGATTAAGTGTTTGAAAATGTCCTTTCATATATGAAATAAACGATTCCTCAGAATTGCTTCATTTTCAAAAATTGAAGAGCTTAAGACTTGTCCAACTATTCTGAACAAACAAGGAAGGGATCATGAATATTTTTTTGTAGTGAAGACTAACACATAATTTCATAAGACTATCCCCCAAAAACATTCATGATCCTAACCTCTTCTGTTCAGTATATTATAGGCTTTCATGACTTTGTGTAGGAAATTTCATTATGTTTTCCATTTAATTTTATTAGTGACTGGGGCTGTTGTCCAACATTAAGCTGACATGCTGTGATGTGACAGAAATACTGTTCATAGTAGTGTTGAGCCCATCTCCCTCTAAGCATGCACAGCCTTAGACGTGAAAATAAGTGTTTATCATCAGATGATGAGAAGCTTGTTTTCAAATAAACAGGCAACATGGACAGAGACACATTTCAAACCATTTTTTAACCCATGCAAACCAATGATTTGTGATTATTGTATAGAGTGTGTTGCAAAGAAAGTATTCTATTTTCAAATACCATTAGTATATTAGTTAGCTGTTAAAATCCAATCTTACCCCACACAGGAATTATGTAACAAAACTGTCATTATGTCTGGGTGTTTGCATCTGTTTTATGTGGCAGTTGCCTGGGATCAAACAGTCATGTGTTTCCAGTTAACAATGATAGAGATTCATTTCCACAACGCTGTACATGATGAGGAAAGTGCCAGCCAGGCAGTTTTATTAGATATCAATATATGACCTTGCAGTATATCTTGTACATGTTGCACGGTAATAAAAGACATAAATATGTATGCAGATGAGATATTATCATGAAATGTGCTCAAGCATCGGTCATCAAATAGTGTGTGACCTTTTGCCTTCGTAATCATGGCATTGGTGAACCCGTGAAGATCCGGGGTAGAATAGGTCTTCAGCAACCCATGCTTGCCGTAAAAGGTGACTGCTTGTCGTAAGATGCGATTAATGGGATATGGTGGTCGGGCTCGCTGACTTGTTTGATGTATCTCAATTGCATGGATCGATGCTCATAATGTCAATCTCTGGATTGTCTGGTCCAGACTCGATTATATACAGACGTCTGTCATATAGCTGGAATATTGCTGAGTGCAGCGTTAAACAACAAACAAACAAACATTGGTGATGTTGCCTCTTGGTTATACTGATTAGGTCATCAGCACCCTGTGTTTGTTTCGTGAGCTGACTAGAAGTATTGGGTGGTCATAATGTCTGACTGGACTGATTGTGTGGAATTATAGCCCAATGGCATCGATCTTAAGTATTTAATAATACTGGTCCTGACTTACTTTTCATACCATTAAGACTTTTCTCTTATCATGGCCTACAACTTTCTGTGCTGTGATGTTATGAGAATAATCAGTTGTTTGTATTCACAATCATTTATGGAGTCATTCACCCTGAGTGGGGACTTATAAGTTTGATTAAACTGTGTACCCCTACTTTGAGTGTTGTTTGTTTTTTTCAGCGCGGGATATCCCAGGATTGCTCAGCGAGTATGAATTCAATCGCATCATGGTGAACAGTGTCCCCAAACCGTACTTGTACGTCTACCCGAAACAGTTGCGTGACAAACGAGTGGTGGGAATATCAACGAAGGAGCACAAAGTGCGGCACCATGTAAGTAGTTACATATGATGTACGCGCACAGACAGACAGACACATACATACATACACACAGACAGACAGACACAGAGACACACCACAAAGACACACACACACACAGACACAGACAGATAGATACATAACGACACACACAGAGACAGACACAGACACACACACACATGCACGTACACACAGACACACACAGACACACACCACAGAGAGAGTTCATTGTGGCTTTTCTCAGCTCAATAATGAAGTCGTGATCTGGCTCTGATATGGCTGTTACATAGGCGTGATATTTCAGTGAAATAGCCATGATATAGATGTATTTTATGACAGATAGTAAAGCAGTTTTTCTATTTCAGGGAACTCATGAGCACTTCAAACACGTCACCCTTTTGCTTACCTTGGATAATAAAAGATACAAGATCAAGTTGGAGAGAAACGAGTAAGTACAACATGACAGTGTTTCCTTAGCTGAGCAGAAAGAATACTCAGAGGCAAAAGTATCTACTCATGTTCAAAATTCATCATCCTGGAAATTTTAAGCCTGTAACCGCTTTTTGGAAGAATTAATGTGTATTTGATCATGCTGAAAATGGACCCCATTGGTTTACTGAACATGCTTAAGAACTTATCATCTTTTATTTGATTTACATTGAATCAAGTTCAAATTCTGCCTTGCAATTTATGATAAACGTTATGGTAAAATGGTAAAAGTTATTGTAAAATGTCTAAATTTTCAATAAGACATACCAAAATTTTTTAGAGACAATATTTAGGCTTCTTTTTCAGCCCAGTGCCAACAGAAAGGCAACACTATCCTGGTCTGCCTGTCTGTCCAGTACTGTTATATCAACTGTCAGTTAAAGATAATTGCTTTTTCTTGTGAGCATCCTGGTTGTATCTTAAAGAAAGTGCAGTCATGTATATCATATCTGTTTTATTACTTCATGATAATTTGTCAAAGCTTATCACTGTTAGATCAAACATCCGATTCCATTTGCAACTTCTGATCTCTGATATGAAGATCTCATCAAATGTTGTGATGGACACCTGACTGGTGAAATCAACACATGCCTATTGCAACATGATGTTGCATATTGCAACAGTGTGCCGTTGGCGTTCATTGATGAATCAGCAGAATCAATAACCGTGTCCTGGATCAACTGTGTCAGTCCGCCAGGAACACAACTCAGGATAGGATGAGCACACATCACACTGACGTGTTGTTTCCAGCAATCCACGCTAATTTATTTTGTAAATGCTGTCACGTCTTTGGATAATGAAAACATGGATTTAAGAATCTTTAAACATGTTATGGTATACCTGTTTTGAACTAATTAGTATTGAAATGAATTTGAAAAATCAAGAGATTGTTTACATTTCATCACTTCTAACCATGACATTTAAGGTAGACTTAAAGGCTTTTTCAGCATTATCAGTTAAATATTTGGTCAACACCAGTGACATTAAACTGGTTTCAGTGAGAAGTGAATTTGAATGGTATGAACGAGGGTAATAATGAAGTATTAAGTGTTGTTACAGTTTGGGCTATATTAGCAGATACATTAAAAGTGACTCCAAAGGAATATAAGGCCACAATGAATTAATTTTTAGATTTTCCAGATATTAAGAAAATATGAAGCTGGAGACATTTTGTTTTATATTTACTGATGGAACCGAATAAGAGAACAATGTATAAAATATAGGGAAATAAGCTTTACTGTCAGTACATTTGAAATAGCACTGATACAAATTCAACACGTCAGAATCAAATGTTGAGATGTGTTTGTGTGCATTGTTTCGAACACATATTTGGTAGACAAGGCTGAAAACCAATGATAGCATATCATTTACTGTGTCTAAAACTAAGAGTTCCCTTCTTCATGTCGATCAGTATATATATATGTTTCAACCAGACTGTTTAAGGCAAGTATGTACATTAACTGTCCGTGTGATTTCATGTGAAGGACTATGTATACATATGGTGTATACATCAAGTAATGTAGTACTTAGGGGGAACACGCATTGTGAATTTTACCACTATGTACCATATATCGCTATGTATAAAGCGACCCCACGTATAAGACGACCCCCCTGTCTACTACACGCCTTCAAAATTGACCCCAAATCCTATACTCCATGTATAAAGCGACCTGGAATGAAGCACATCACAAGTGTGCACACAAATCTTAAATTGCAATAAAAATATGTATGTACTTTGGGACAGTCACATGATGTGAGGCAGGGTTTTGGTAGTGTGGAGGGTGACATGAAAATCTAATGACCTTGATGAAAGCAGTCTTTTGTTTGTTAAATGATGCCCTAATATATAGAATTACTCTTCAAAGATGTGTTAAAAGCTACCCATTCTCTAATCTTAACTAACTAATCTAAATTATTATTGGCCATTACGCCATCTGATTAGGGTTCCATACAGCAGACAGTCGTCTAGAAAAGTTAGGTTTTCATATTTTACATGCACCAGTGAAAAATAAATTGTTGACTAATAATGGAATAATATTAGCTCATGGCATCTATCCCAGCTGGTGTTAATATTCATTTACAACACCACAGCGCTCATACTTGATCAGAAAGAGGGCCACAGATGGCCTAGTTGACAAAGGTGCCTGAATTCACTGTGCAGAGTTGTGTCCCTTTGGCATGCCAGAAAATGGTGATCGTGGTGGGTCAGAAAGCCAGGTCCATCCTGGTTACATTTCTAAGTTAGCCCCATACCCATGGGTGAGTCTCCCCCAATTAGTAAACATCTGAGACCTGCATCACTTAAGACTTTCTAAAAATATTGTTCAAAGGTACTGTTGGCATTAAGGCCAAGTCACTCACTCAGTTTTGACTGAAAGAATCTGACATCCTCTACCCCAAGACTATGTTTCTATTGCAGTGCATTATTTTCATCGGGGATTATGGTGAAACACTATGCAGAGACTAACCAGCAGGTCATCACACAGGTAGGCACACCTCTGTTTCTTTGTTTGTATATGGTACAAACACCCACATTGAACTGTTTTATCTCTTCCGACTTTGTCCTCTCTGATAATCTGCCAAAAAAACCCAGCGAGGAAGTTAAGGGTTCCACCAATACATTAGCAGGGAATGCCAATAATGGACTTGACACTTCACAGGTACTTCGGGATGATGAGCAAACACTTAAACCACTAGGCTATCCCACAAACACTGAAATAGAAAGATATGAAGGAAAATTATTGATAAGGATGCAGACAGAATTTATTTTTATTTTGTCTCTTAGTTGTACGAGGCAGAATTTTATTTCCAGCAGTACAGTGTTTCTGTACCAAGCTCTGAATTTACTGTATATGTCGCATGGTGAGGGAATCAATGGATTGTCTGCTACCAGGAGTATTTAGGGAATGCTGACATAAGAGTCAAGAAATATCTTCCCAATTGCCTGCTACTGCCCCGGAATATTTGATATTATTTGACCTGCACTTTTAAAGTAGATGTGCCATTGAAGAGATGAATGCAAAGATTAATTTGATTTGGAATATCTGTCTCATTTGCTGGTTGAAAAATAAGAGCCTCACCTGTAGTAAGGGCCTGGTACATGGGGTAAGGTTATGAAATAAGAGCCTCACCTGTAGTAAGGGCCTGGTACCTGGGGTAAGGTTATGAAATAAGAGGTTCACCTGTAGTAAGGGCCTGGTACAGGGGTAAGGTTATGAAATAAGAGCCTCACCTGTAGTAAGGGCCTGGTACATGGGGTAAGGTTATGAAATAAGAGCCTCACCTGTAGTAAGGGCCTGGTACAGGGGTAAGGTTATGAAATAAGAGCCTCACCTGTAGTAAGGGCCTGGTACATGGGGTAAGGTTATGAAATAAGAGGTTCACCTGTAGTAAGGGCCTGGTACAGGGGTAAGGTTATGAAATAAGAGCTTCACCTGTAGTAAGGGCCTGGTACAGGGGTAAGGTTATGATATAAGAGCTTCATCTGTAGTAAGGACCTGGTACATGGGGTAAGGTTGTGAAATAAGAGCCTCACCTGTAGTAAACCCCTGGTACATGGGTAAGGTTGTGAAATAAGAGCTTCACCTGTGGTAAGGGCCTGGTACAGGGGTAAGGTTGTGAAATAGGAGCTTCACCTGTTCTAATAAGAGCCAGCCTCTAATATGGGCCTCTAATATGGTCCTGGTCCAAACGTGAACTGATGTTAATTACATCTTCCTGAGGCAAGGGCGTTAACTGACTATAAAAGTCCAGTTTTTGCTGAACTAGGCTGGAATTCTGGGATAAGTATTATCTAATCAAAATCGTCTAACGAACTACACATCCGTTTTGTGAACATGGATTTCAACATGCAGATTTCGGTCGCTTGCAGAATTTGCATAGCATGTGTACCGCCAACTGGGCGTCGACAGATATTTTGCAAATCCATTCATGTTTTTGATCAAGGTGCTCAAGTGATTTGATGCACTTTGCAGGGTAAGACCTGTATTATTACAATATAAATCTTGATTATCGATCAGATCTTCTTGACTGGGTGCCACGATTTTGTTTGAAGCAAATGCAAGTGATATGAGAGATGGAATCTGATTGGCCAATAGGAGGGACATCGAAGGGACATAACTCGTAATAGCAACTGGTAGCGCTACGATTGAGCCTGGAAATTCCAGCCTTGTTTGGCAAGATGTGAAACTGTATTTTTATAGTCAGTTAACTCCCGTGCCTCTGGAAGATGGTTAATTAAGGCTCAGCATGTTAGTTGGGGAAATGTGATATTTGGTTTTGAAGGAGCAGTTCCCTCTTTCCATTTTAATGATGGTTGATGGTAAAGATCTAATTGCTAAGAATTGCGAGATGGTTTCACTTTTTGTTTTGTTAGGAATAATATATTTTTTACACATTTAATGATGTACAAGCTCTCTTCAGCTCAAATATCATGAAATGATACCGTTAGAAGATCCAGTGCATATGCACAAGAACTAATTCTAACAAAACCCATTGAAATTATTCAAGGATCTTTGCTCTGATATCTTGATGTAACATTGTGCTGGCATGGGAATATTCACAGATTATTCTGACTTTAATGATATGACTCATCATGAGAATTGTAATTGATTAAGATCTGTCAAATGATGAATTTGTTCCAGTGTTTGCATAAACCTTGCATGTTTCGTATCTAACCATTTGGACTCCAAGTTTCTGACGAAAATTGGTTTGGGCACTTGAATCATACTTATACTTGATTTTCTGTAAAACAAAGAACCCTCACGCAATTGAATATTATAGAATATGTTCAGGGCTATGTGATTCATGTAGTACGTATTAGCTTGACGCTTCACAGTAGATTAAGGATCAGCCATATATTATAGCTCCTTAATTGAAGCTGCAATAATGCATTTCATTTACCAAATGTTTGATGTTTACAAAAGAAATCATTGGCTGTGCCATGTTGATATTATTTGAGGATTTATCAAACCAAATTGCATGTCATTAAATAATTGATTTGTAAAATATTAATTTTCCCATATGACTCATATACTCTGGGTCTTTTTATCACAGAGTCTCTACCCTTGCCATTCCGCATTTTGATATTCAAATCTTTTGAACAGCAAGTCTCATCGTTAACCTTGGATCTTTCACAGGATTTTGTAGTGTTTCTTGGCATTATTAATGACTCCTAATCGAATGAATTTGTCAGAAAAGCTTGAAGCAATTCCTTGGTCAAAATGCTGCCCGCCCAACTGGAATTCTGTGCTGGATTGGAAGTGTGATCGAGCAAATGAAGCAAAAATATAAGGGCAGTGAATGATGATTCCTGATCTCTCTGGAGGCCTGCGGACTTAAATAAGTTGGACTCCTTCCAAGACTGCTGTTCTATAGAGTGAATGAGTATTTTAACGATGGAAGACAGAATACCACCTTCTTAACTAGCAGTGTCTATGTTGCTGTCAGTGGGGATGTTTTCATTAACAAACTAAGTTAGGGGATTCAGATGTGTCTTACAAAAATGCTTATAAGAAATACCTGCTTGTGGATAAAAAAAATTCTTTGAATGGTTGACAGTTCTAAAGCGATATTTCCAATTTTCCTGGAAAAAATAAGTTTGTTCCATTTCCCCTCGCAAAAAAATTTAATTGCCAGTTGTTTTTTGTATTTAAGGTTCTGGTTTGGGGCTTGGTTCACTAAAGATATTTTAACTGTATGATTGTCTTATGTACCAGTATGTTTTTTTGTAGGGGAATCCTATGCCAGTCACGACACTCAATGATTTCTGTAACAAGGCCCTGGTAGATAAAAATAATGTTATTGAGGGAAAAACCCTCATATGATTCGCCCGAGTATCTCATACATGTGTGTCAGTGTGAATGATGTCTGGAGGGAGGAACTGCAGTCAAAGTTTAGATCATGAACTTACACACCTTGCACCTTCCATTTACTCAGTTCTCAGTCCAAATGAACCACACATTTAATGACACGAGTTACAGGTGATGTCACTGGAATTTTTGAAAAAGTCACGGTTGGGTGGTAATCCATTGCTTGTATATTCAGGTAGTGTTGCTGTGTAGGGAAATGTCTCCTGGCATGGTCTTAGTCAATAATGTATGCTATAGCGCCTCTAGACAGGCAACACTGAGTACTGACTGTAAGTTGACAGCTTAAGAAGCTTGTGTGACTTGACTCCGGAACATTCTGACTTCTTACAAATGGTCATGTCACACCTTTGTGTGAGGGTTCATTCATCTAGCTGACCTTTCCTCACCAAGAGTGAAGCACTGGTGTACAAGCCGTACCATGTCCCTCGTCTCCCTGACCTTGCCCTCCTGGGTCTACATGTCTTCCAGGTAGTGACCTACCTTCCTAGCATACACATGGTCCATCCTCCCTGACCCACACTCTCAACTCCCTGACCCTAAAACAGTCCTCCATATTCTCTCCCACGATATGATTCTTTCTGAAACATCCATTCTACCTTTCTTCCTCACCTGAACAATCATCCCTAGAAAGCCCTAGATAAACCCACATGACAATCCCTCCACTACATCACTGCCCATCCGGCTCCAGTCTGTTGGCTGACCGTCCCAACCAGCAGCCTGCCACGAGCCATCTCATGTCCTTCGGTGCAGCAGCCACCTCTGTGAGAGTGTGTGCAGCATAACCTCATGTTTGTTGTTTGTTGTTTGAGTGACACATGTTGATGTACCTACAGATAGAGATCACTCCCAGTTGAATTAGAGCTTTGCTTTCTGCAAATACGTTGTTGATTTTATCAGGATCAGGATCATATAGATTACATAATGAGAACCAGCCCTGCCTGTAAGAAATGTTCAGAGCATTCTTATATGAGATTTTTTAACCATTAAATAGCTTCAGCTAACTGTTCAAAGCAGATATATCTAGATGTGTCTTGGAATCCTATATGTTAATGGAAAGGATCTTACTTTCTTCTTTATGAATAAATTTACAGCTTTAAGTTGTATTGTATATGTTCATATGTGGGGTGTATTTGACACCTTAGTTCAGTATCTAAAAGTGGGTTGCACACTATTCACATGTAATATATAGCAGCTTGACAAGTCAAATGGACCGACAACAGCATGTATGCAACATCAAAGCTCCCTGTGTTCTGGTGCTCCCTGATGTTGGACAGCGACGAGTGCTCTATGTAGGATGTGCATGAAAACACTCAGTTTATAATGCATTTTCTTCTGTCTGGCCCATTGATGTATGATTTATTTACAGCTAGATATAATCATATCAGCCAATAAATACAAAATGTGCTAGGCTAGCTTATGATTTACCAGGGAAGTGTGTAAGGTGTTGCACAGCGAGGGACACCAAGCTTTGGCTTCACCCATTGTTCCCAGGTGGGGCAGATGACCCATGTCTTTTGTATGTGGTGAGTCAACAACTAGCTTACTCAACACCTCTTTCCAGATTGTGTCATCATGATGCTAACCTTGAGTGAAAGAGTAAGTCAACATTATGTCAG